AATCCGACCTGGCTTTATTGAAAAAGAAAAAATAAGGAAAATAAACATTTTTTAGGTGACAAGAGCTCATTAGAGATATAGGGGACACAATCTGTGATAAGCCCGAAATACAGACCACGTGGTAAACACTAAAGTTGGAAATGGATCCTTTTAGGAAAACTCTTTTAAAGCTCTGCAGGCTCTAAAAGTTGCAACAATAGAAATAGCTCATGAGACAATTGGAATTGGACATGGAAAAATATAACAAAGTTAAAAGTACAGGCCTTCTGTGTTGTTATATGTTTGTGTGTGTTATATGTTTTGTGTATGTTATATGTTTGTGTGTCATGTCAAAGTACACCACGTTGACCTTAACAAACTCTGGACCAATACTAACGTGGGGAATCGGCCTGTGATGTGACTGTGATATGAGTGTGATGTGAGTGTGGAGTGAAATGAGGAATGCTGAACGGAATCATGGAATAACAAATGTGTCTGTAATGTTTTAATGTGATCATGGAATAATTATTTTTTGTCAACAGCATACGGTGTAAGTACTAGAGATTCAAAGATAACAAGCTTTATTGAACAGGTGTAAAAGTGAGAGTACTCTGGGATGAGTACTCGGAGAAAAGTACTCTGCGGAAAGTACTCTGAGATGAAATACCTTGCTGAAGACATTGGGAGTCCCTGCCTCTGCTGTTTGTCCTGACAGTGAGTCGGTCCAACCGCAGTGAGCTGTCGGTGGTTGAAGGACAACTTTGGTTGGTAAACTCACATTTAGGGGAGTATAAAATTAGAAACATACATTTTGTTAAGTCTGTATTTTGCTACAGCCTCCGCCCTGATGTCAAACACCGTCTGTCAATGCAGTTATGTTTTGCCCAATTGGAAAAAAGACTGACAAGCGAAAGTGGGCATTTTTTGTGTTTTTTGTGTTCTAATATTTCTTTTTCAGATGAGAGATAAACTACCCCTGCTTCAGGGATGACAGTAGTATGGATCATGAGGAAATGAGCCTCTACCTTGGCACCAAAGCCCACAATATGAATTGAGGACGATCCGGGAGAAAGCAGCTGGAGATGAACGGAACAGTCGGTACTTTTGCAGTCTCACGGAGGGCCACTGAGACCCACTGCTTACTTCTCAGCAAAACTCGATCCCGTGGCAGCAGGGTTGCCTCGCTGCCTGCGGGCTGTGGCTGCCGCTGAGAAAGCGGCCCTAGCATCACGTGACCTTGTGGGATACACTGAACTAACTTTGCTTGTGCCCCATGCTGTTTCCCTGATCCTGTTAGAGCAGAGGGCCTCTCGCCTTTCTGCGGCTCGTTGGCTGAAATACAACACGGTGCTCCTTGAACTACCCAATGTCACGGTGAAAAGATGCACACAGCTGAACCCCTCCTCGCTGCTGCCCACGCCAGAGGAAGGGGAGGCACACTGCTGTATCGCCACAATAGAACAGATATGCACTCCCAGGCCAGACCTGAAAGAGGTGCCTCTGACTAATCCTGACTTGATTTTTTTTATACAGACGGAGCCGCGTCACGTGACAACACTGGGAAGAACCGAGTCGGCTATGCTGTGTGTTCTGATTTTGATACTATAGACTCTGGTAGTTTGCCCCACTACCATTCAGCACAAACCGCTGAACTGGTCGCGCCCACCGGGGCTTGTGAGCTGGCAGCGGGCAAAACTGTTAACATATTCTGTGATACGCGTTATGGTTTCTCTGTGGTGCACGACTGGGAAGCACTGTGGAAACACCGCAATTTTATGAAATCTGATGGTAAACCAATTCTTAATTCCACACAGGTTGAACGTCTGCTGAGAGCTGTAATGTTGCCCTTAGAGATCGCTGTATGCAAATGCCAGGCCCACACTAATGCCACTGATCCCATCTCTGCAGGGAATCGGCGCGCGGACAAGGCAGCGGCATACGCACCTCTACACACACACACACACTACCTCACTCAAGACGTTGATATTTTCTACTCCAGCAGAGACGCTGCTGTGGGAGGGGAATGGGGCTCAACGACGGCATGGTGTGTGTGGCTGGGACCAGACAGCAAACCGTGCCTACCACGGCATTTCTCCAGACAGTTTGCAATTTTAGCACATGGTCGAGACCATGCCTCAAAAGGAGGGATGATGTGTGATTTAATCACACAAAATTGGTATACAAAGGGGTTTACGGCATTTGCACAGAGATTCAGCCAAACATGCGCTATATGCCTCGCGCACAACCCAGGTAAGTCCCAAAAGTATCCAACAGGCTGCTCATCCTCCGCCCCTGCGCCCATTTCAACATGTCCAAAGGGACTTTGTTGAACTCACACCATGCCAAGGTAAGTAATACTGTCTGGGTCTGGCGGATCTCTGGTCCAAATGGACTGAAGTATTTGCAGGCATACACGCCACGAGCAACGCGGTGGTGAAAGCTCTGCTCACAGAAATTGTGCCACGATGGGGTGTCCCGAGGGAAAATCTCTAGGGACAATGGCAGTCACTTTGTAGCAAAAGTCATTGAGGAAGTGGGTGAATTTCTGGGCATTGATATACGTAAACACTGCAGTTACGCCCCCTGGTCCGGAGGCACGTGCGAGCGAGAGAATGCACTCAAAGCTCTGCCGCTAGCCCCACGTTGGGCGCGGGACCCCCGAACAGAGATCTGCCAAGCACCACTTTGTGTGATGACGACATGCTGTCCTATTGTAAGGAAATTAATGCACTTTTGTCCTCTATTTCTGCCCAGGTCAGGAGCGCCCTGCCACAGGCTGCGCAGGCGGCTCTGCACAGGATCAAGCCAGGCGACTGAGTCCTGGTGAAGGAAACGAGACGACAACATTGGCGGTCCAAGCGCTGGCTCGGCCCATTCCTCGCCCTCCTGGTGACGGACACTACCGTTAAGGTCGCGGAGAGGACAACTTGGATCCACGCCAACCACTGTCGTGCGGTGCTGCCACTGAGGGCCATAGACGAGGACACCGAGGGCGCGGACGGACCAGGCCCATCCGCGGCTCCCTACGATGAAGAAGTCGGCCGGCGTGCGGCCACCGTCGGTGAAGCAGGCCAACAACAACACCCAGAGAATCCCAGCGTTCCCGAGGCGACCCCCCTTCTGCCCAACTCCCCAGCCCCCGGATCCCAAGGCTTGGGAGCCATGAAGGCCCTGAGCGCTCTGCTCAGCTGCAGCAAGTATGCAGAGCTGCTGCCCATTCCAAAGATTTCTCCAGAGCTTGCTCCCTCTGGCCATAATGCAGATTTGAGCTCTGATGGAGTGCCCCCTGGTGTCTCGTCTCCCGTGTGTCCGGGGGAGGTGGAGATGAGGGCTGCTCTACAGTTCCTGATGAGGCACATGGTGAAGCGTGCTGTCATGAGGTCTCCCATCAAACGAGCTTTGGGCCTGGCCGATCTGGAGCGTGCTCAAGCCATGGTCTCCACACCCCAAACCCCGAGCACTCTGCCCAACCGAGTGCTGAGGCCAAGGCTTCAACGCAATTAGAGTCTTGCCGCTCCAAGACCAAACATCGCCATGACCACTAACGCTCCACACACGCTCATAGGGAGCGGTGCCACTGACTGCGAGACGGCACTGCTCGTGAGTATTCCCGCGGAAAAGACTACCGAACGTAGCCCGGCTAAGACCGGCATGGGCCCTTGGACTGTTATGCTGGCCACACTGACCGTGCTGACCGTGTTCATTATGTTAATATTGCCTTCTCTTATCGCTGTCCGGATCCATTGTGTTATTATAATGTGCTCTTTCTTTTATTGACAAGCATGTTTCTTTTCTTGTCCACTTTGGACAGCAATAATTTAAGTGTTTCAAGCTTGAAGGTGGTGTGATTACGATGCCTCTGGTATTTAACTGATTAATGCAAAAATGGTTTTGAATTATCAAAAGAGGGGAGTGTGGTGACAGTTTTTGGAGTAATTACATAAAACCAGCCGCAGCAAATACACGGACGTCAAAGGCCTTTTATCAATGCAGAGACGCCCTTCTGACGCCATGCTGAGCTTTGTGAGGGCCCCCTGCTGTCTGTCACACCCTTGTGTCTTTCGCATCTCGCATCTGTATGCTTGCATCTTCTACCATTGTCTGTCTGTTCGCACCGTCATGCCCTGTGTCTGATTGCCTCACCACAGGGGCATGACGCCTGCGCTTCCTATGCGCCTCCTTCACCGGTGGCCCCCTCCGATCTGTTGTGGGCGGGACTGTCTTTCGTGTGTGTCTTGTAATACAGGAAACTCGGGGCTCTGGCTCAGAGCTGATGCATGCTGCCTTTGTGTGTATGAGCTCTCCGCACGTGTGTTAACAATAAACTTACGCTTTTGATCAGACAAAGGACCTTTGAGTTTTCTCCTTCATGGGGTATATAATTCTACAACAGAGCACAGCACCAGCTCCAGTTGCACTAGCGTCCACCTCCAGGCTAAACGGCTTGGTATAGTCCGGTGCAGAGAGGACAGGAGCACTGCAGAGAAGAGACTTAGCAGCCAGGAACGCACTTTCACACTCTGCAGTCCACAGGAAAGGGACAGCAGGACTGCACAGGGCAGTGAGAGGAGTTACTAGAACAGAGAAGTTCTTGCAAAAACACCGATAGTAACCCGCTAACCCTAAAAAACGGCGCATTCTGAAGTTCCGTGCAAAAACGAAGAGTGCCATCTGATTTGGGAGCAAGGAGGCATGGAGAACTCCAGGGTCTATGGCTAGGTTTAGCAAGGCCATTGGTCACCAGGTAGCTAACTTCCTTCTTCATGGCCTCCCGCTTGGTCATAGGGCAGCGATAGGCATGCTGCTTGATGGGGAATGCAGAGCCTACATCTATGTCATGCTCCAACAGAGAGGTACGAGACGGTGTGTCACCAAACAACGACGGGTAGGCCCGTAAAAGAGCCAGAAAGTCCTTGTACTGATCCTTACTGAGATAAGCCAGATTGGCGCCTAAACTGGACATATACTCAGAGTTTGATAACCTTCCACTCTGTTGTGCAACACACGGCTCTCCTAAATCCTCAAGACTCTCCGAACACACGGCTGACACAGAGGGCACAGCTAGCATGGACTGTGCTGGCCTGTGCTCCCCCCTTACGAGGAGAGGCTTCAGCATGTTGACATGACAAAGTCTAGTCTTCCTTCTCCGCTCCGGGGTAGCGATAAGGTAGTTTGTGTCGGACACTTTCCTCTCAACAACATAGGGACCAGAGAAACGGGCCGAAAGGGCAGAACCAAGGGTTGGGAGTAACACCAGGACTTTATCCCCAGGACTGAAGTGCCGAATCACTGCCTTTCTGTCGAATCGCCTTTTCATTCCAGCCTGGGAAGAGACGAGCGCTTCCCTAGCCAACGCGGTAGCCCGCTGTAACCGCTGCTTACAGTCTGACACAAAATCCGATGCACTCCTAACCGACTTCGGCATGGTTAATAACTGTTCCTTAAGCAGTTTAAGTGGCCCACGCATGCCGTGACCAAAAACAAGTTCGGCGGGGCTGAACCCGAGGGATTCTTGGGTAGCATCCCTAACAGCAAATAACATGAAAGGAACACCCTCATCCCAGTCCTTCCCTGTCTCAAAACAGAACTTGCTCAGCACAGATTTCAGCGTCTGGTGCCACCGTTCCAACGACCCTGAGACTCTGGGTGATAAGCGCTGGCCACAGAATGAGCAACCCCGAACGACTGCAGGGTCTCCTTGAAGACTTTAGACAGGAAGTTAGTTCCCTGGTCAGTCTGTACAACCCTAGGCAGACCAAAGGTACTAAAAAACTTTGTAACGGCTTTAACAATAGAAGGGGCCGTGATTCTGCGCAGAGGGATCGCCTCAGGGAAACGAGTGGCAACACACATAATGGTTAACAAGAACTGATTACCCATCTTGGTTTTTGGTAAAGGGCCAACACAGTCCATAATCACATGCTCAAAGGGTTCCCCAAGGGCAGGCACAGGGCGCAGGGGAGCCGGCGGTACCACCTGATTTGGTTTCCCAACGGACTGGCAGGTAATGCAGGTCTTACAGAAAGCAACCACATCAGCCTTCAGACCTGGCCAAAAGAAATGTTGGAGAACGCGGTCATAAGTCTTGGTAACACCAAGATGGCCGGACCACAGGTTTTCATGCGCCAGAGACAATACATGATGCCTGTAATTTTCGGGAACGACTATTTGGAAAATAGTACACCAGTCATTAGTGTCAGCGTTACCGTCCCGAGGGACCCACTTGCGCATCAATACACCCTCATCAAGAAAAAACCGAGTCTGGTCAGCTGGGCTGTCTAAAACAGAAAAACATTTGGTCAAAGTCTTATCACACTTTTGAGCTCCAATCAAAGCGTCACTGGTGAGTGGAGGGGACATAGCGGTGGTTGACTTCACACTGCTGGCCTTCGTCCTGGCGTGGTCATCAGGTCGTCCACACGGGGGCGCACGAACACCGGAGAAGACAGGAGCAAGCACAGAATCATACAGATCAACATCACCCTGTTCCTCTGCCAACTTTTTAGACTGGGCGCGGGTCAACACACACACTGAAAACATCTCGGGGTGTTCCTCAGCCAATTCATCCTTCCCAGTGCTGAGAATGGGGCGAGAAACCACTTTCGGAGAGGGATACACTTCCCCACCTGCGATATCATTCCCCATAATAAACTCCACCCCGTCAATAGGAAACTGGTCGCGCACAGCGACAGGGAAAACTCCACTAACCAAGTTTGACTCAATGTAGACATTATGCAGTGGTGCGGGCACATAACTAAGGCCGATCCCCTTCACTATTGTGCTTAGATGACAGTCTGTCTGCGGGCCCAGAGGCAGGACACCCGAGAGAATAAACGACTGGGAGCCACCCGTGTCACGCAAAACTTTAACAGAATGCTTAACATCTCCTGGGACGGAAACAAACGCCTCAAAAATGAAGGGCTTAAAACAGTCATCACACTCTGAAATGGGAGAACAAACAGGCCTCGCATTAGTATGAATAGCAGCTGGGATCGTCTTGATAAGCGCTACACTTTTCGGTTTAGATGTGGGCTGCTGTTTGCGCTTTAAAGCGTCACAATCCGCGACGATATGACCACTTTTATGACAAAAGAAACACTGCTTTGTCCGCTCAGGCCTTGAAGTAGTCGCAGGACTAACGGGGATCCTCTCCTCAGACTTGGGAAAAGGTTCACGCTTAAAAACAGCCTTGTGGGTGAGAGAGAACTCATCCGCTAAAACAGCCGCCTGCTGGAGCGTGGCCACTTTTTGTTCATTTAAATACACAATAAGGCGCTCAGAAAGACAGTTCTTAAATTCTTCAATAAGAAATAGTTCCCGCAGCGCCTCAAAAGTACCCGCTTTACTTGCAGAGCACCACCTGTCAAACAGCAGCCCCTTCTCACGGGCAAAATCCACAAAACTCTGGTTACATGATTTTCGAAGCCCTCTAAAACGCTGCCTATAGGCCTCGGGCACCAGCTCATACGCACGCAAAATAGCACTTTTCAGACAGTCATAGTTCAAACTGTCCGATACTGACAAAGACGCGCATGCTTCGGAGGCCTTGCCACTCAATTTACACTGTAATAAAATTGCCCATACATCTCTAGGCCAGTGTAAGGCGCTCGCAATACGCTCAAAAGCACCGAACTATGACTCAACTTCGGACTCGCGGAAAACCGGGACAAGTTGAATGTTCTTTGTCACGTCAAATGAATCACACGCACTGGCCGTAACAGGCGAAAATGGAGCTGAACCGCGACCCGATGCCTGCAGCTCCAATTGCCTCATACGAAACGCAGTGTCAGCTTCTAACCTTCTAAACTCAACCTCGCGAGCAGTGGCTGCCTCCAGCTCAATGCGCTTTAACTCGAGCTCACGCTTGAGCTGGAAGTCACGCTCTCTCTCCTCTTTCTCGTTTTTGAGCCGTGCAAGGCGCACATCCAAGCGCACATCACGAGAAGAATGCACACTCAAAGTAGGAGACAAGACACAAACCTTTTCCTCAGCCTCCCCAAACAAAACCTTTGGAGAGCCCACCGGTGGCTGTGGGGAATCCGCGCTCTCCCCAAGACGCACGGGGGACGCCACTGCGCCTCCCGCGGTCACTCCTTGATCCAGATTGCTCGACTCGGGCAAAACCAAAACTTCACTGGCAACCAAACCTGCCAACACAGCCTCCCTTAACTCTCCCACGCGCAATGTAACAGACACGGGTATGTCATAGTGCCGGGCAATCTCCAATAAGTCAACTTTTCTACACGAGTCCAACACATCACTAGTTGGCTCAGCCACGAAAGCACCCAAGTCAAACGTAGCCATATCACTCACCAAAATCACCAATCCAGGCCACAGCCGATCCCACTCACGGCCAGGCTACACCTGCTGACACTTTGCCAATCCACACTCCACCAGGAATGTGCCGTGCGCGCGCTTCTGACACAGCCGCGCGCAACCCACACACACGCCAGGGACAAAAAGACGAGCTCACGCAGGGCGCACTGATCACATAGAAACCCAAACCAGTTTAAACAAATGGTACCCAGACTCCTAACCAGGAAACTCTACGCCTAACTGTCTTCTGGGGTTTGCCGAGCTCGAGGCGTGCAGCCCCCGCCAGAGAATTCACTCCGCCCGGGATTCGCCCCGAAAATAACAAACTAAAACAAAAAACGGATGCCCGAAGGAATGACGAGTAAATCGGCCAAGCTGGACACCCCCCTAGTCTAGCTGGGTCACCAATGTATAGTGGCTGAGCAAGCGCCCATACACAGCTCAACTCACCCAGAGCGCACGCACCCACGAACACTCACAGACTTCTGGTACAACGTCAGGATCCCGGACGAGCCCCCAACTATTACGTGCCAGAATGTCCAGGGTAGCACGTAACGTATATAGTGAATAACCGGGTGTGGGATGACGAAGGATGAAGGTGAGAGGTCGTAGATTAGGAGTAAAAATAATAGGTTTATTACACAATTGTTTATAATAATAAACAATTAAACTACTAGCAGAAATGTGCAGAAACAAAGGTGCAGCGTAGGACGCAGACGTCAGCCCTCATCTGGGCCAGGGGCCTTTTAGGCCTGGGCTGATTGGCATCCAGCAGGTGCCGATCATCAGCCAATGGGTGGTGCGGAGGAGGCACAGAGCTGAAGGGGGTGGAGGCAAGGAAAAGTACATACCACAAGGCCCATAACAGACATACATGACAACAATAAAACATCAATACAGACCAATAGATGCCCTGAAATTGAAAATATGAAAATAAATATCCTACTGCAAAAAATTTTGGATAGGAAGAAAAGAATGTTTAACACATAATTCATATGTATTTATAAAGTAAACGTATGCGCAAACTTGCTTGTAAAAAGTCAAGGCTGGGCTGATTACTCACAGTACAGATACAGGGCTATGTATGGCCCAACTGATAAATTTAATTAATTTTTTTTTTATTTTGGCAAAACTAATGTCTTTATTATGAAGACATTTTTAATCTAATTCAATATCTAATTGTCTTAACAAATTATGTATACATGGGTCGGCACGGTGGCTGAGTGGATAGCACTCTCGCCTCTCAGCAAGAAGGTCCTGGGTTCGAATCCCGGTCGGACCAGGGTCTTTCTGAGTGGAGTTTGCATGTTCTCCCCGTGTCTGCGTAGGTTTCCTCCGGGTACTCCGGTTTCCCCTACCACTAAAAATATGTCCAATAGTTCTAGCATGCGCCTCCTGTACTGGCCCCCGCTCCCATCTCTGTGTGGAGTGAGAGACAAATGCCCAAAAATTAACAGTTGTAAACCGCTTTGAGACTCAAATCTGTAGTGAAAAGGCGGTATATACAAAAAAATAAAGAAAAGATAAAGATGGGTCCTTCGCCATACCATGGTTGACCTTTTGCGGCCTCACTAATTTTTTTTTTTTTCATGCTTTTCATGCGCCCGGTGTATACTCCAACAACATCATATAACCGCTGGTATAACATGACAGTTACCTTTATTTAAGGTCAGAGTGCGTTCAGAAGACTACTGCTGTCTACCTGTAGCCCTCAGTCCTGCTCCTGTCTCTCAGTACAAGGTTTTCTGCAGTTGTATTTTCCAGTAAGTGCACGGCTGCAGCAGGGCTCAGGTTCTCATCAAACAAGTTTCAATATATCTGCAATTACACTTTAGCAGTTGTGAGTTCAGGTGCAGGTGGTTAGAAAAGTGTATAAAGTGTGTGGTCAGGGGTTTTACAGCCTTAAAAATATTCAGCTGCTTCTTTGCGGATTCAGCTTATTGCGGGTTATTTTTAAGAACGTAACCCCGGTGATGAACGAGGGACCTCTGTATATTATCAAACAGAATTTGTTTTGGGATTTCCTGTTACTATTGTATGTGCGTTTAAAGTGGGGCTTATTCAAACATAGACATGAACTGTATACAGTCTGTAGTGTTCATCCCTATAAAGATACATCCAGTTTCTTGGACGTAGAGTGGAGGTTTTTTTTCCAGGTTTTTTTGCCTGCATGGATGGATGGATTATCTTCGGCACTCATTTTAATCTGGAGATACTACACAGTCACAAAATTGCATTAACTGAGATGTATGTATTTGTTTGTTTGGCACTCTAGGTCCCTGCTGTAGCACTTTGTCTGAAGATCATTCTTTGTGTGCCGCTTATAAGCCCCCAAGATGGTGGGATAACGGTGAAGTTGTCATATGGCGTGATGAGTTTGCGCTTGAAGGTTGAGGAGGACTTGGTTACAAGGCGTGAGAAAAGGAAAGTGACGGCAGAACAAACGGCTTGCAAGGCTTAGAAAAGATATGATGTTTCCGCTTATAAACAGCTGGATTAACAGGGGTACGTTGGCAGAACTTTGTGATTGGCTGAGGGTGGAAGGGGCCGGCTTGGATGGGCTGCAGCATGTAGCCTACCAGACTGAATTTACGATGGCTCCATTTTAAAGATAGGGACAGTGTGTTGCGGTCTTTCAGACGCAACACGGGCGGAGCATTGAGACTGGATCATCAGATGAGTCACCTCAGTCAGATCCGAGTGGTTCAGTGCTGGTGTGATGTGTCTGGACCCTGGTTGACGTTCTTAACAGACCATTGCACATGTCGTGTTCATAGTGTGGTGCTTCTCATGCTGCTGCTGCTCAGTCTTCAAGGCTGTGCCAAGTGCTCTAAGGAGTAGGTTATTATTTCATTTTTGTAAACAGAAGTGAAGTGTGAACAACCCAAACTGGAGGCCCACGCAGAGCAACTCCTCATGACAGGTGCAGAGGAGTTTGTGCAATATTCATCATAAGAGCAATCGGTTGTTTCTACTCTCTATTTTTATAAACCTGCTATTATGGATAAAAAGGAAGCTGAGGTGTGCTTGTGTTACAGTGTCAATTAAGTCTTTTCCTCAGGGACATTTGACATAATATTTATTTAGAACATATATTTTTTGCCAAATCTCGCAGAGAGCTTGCTTTTTTGACAGCTGCACCTGCTGTAAGCCCACATTTGATATGCACTTGGCCGCTTTCACAGCAATGGTCCTATTGTTTAAAAAAATGTTGGTGTTTAATTTATGCCATGTTTGACCACTGTGTTTACATTGAACACGGCTCGGTAGAAAGAGTATGTCAATAGATTGAAAGCAAAGACAAAATGACACGGCATCTGGTATTCAGCACAACATTTATTTATTTGTATATATTTAAGTGTATTTTCACATAGCTCAATACACTTTATTTTTCCATTGAAGGAAGAGTGTCTTTCAGCAAAGCATTAAGTGGATACATACATGTGAGACTGGCTGCCTCTCTGTCAATGTTCAAATCCATGTTAAAGACTTTTCTTTTTTCCTGTGCATACAACTAAAGAATTTTATCTTTTTAACACACCTTGTTATTTATTGTTGTAAATTTTTGTGTTTTTAACTATTTTATTGTTTTTAATAACTTCTGTGATTCTTATGTTTTTAAATTACTTATGTGATTTTAATGATTTTTAATTACATATGTGTTTTTGATTGTATTTTAATGGTGATGATTTGTGCATTGTGTGGTGTGGACTGTGAGGCGCTTTGTGTTGCCCTGTGCAGGAAAAGCGCCCTATAAATAAAGATTGATTGATTGATTGATTGATTCTTTTGTTTGCGTTAACCTGAAGATTAACTCAAACACAAAACCCCGGAAATTGAGCAAATTATCACATTTGGGTGAATACCGTTGCCTGGATGCAGGATTGGAACTGTGCCTTTTGGCGACGGTCAGTACTCTGCAAGTGCTTGTCGAGAATAAAACAGATTCTCCAGACAAAACACGTGAATATGTTGACTTTTAACACTTTGAACATTCAAGCAAAACAGGATTGTGAACATTCATAACATTTTTATTTTGTTGTGACTGTGGAAATCCTGCTGTTATTAGTTTCTGAAATTACACATGCTCTGTCTGTATTTATTTTTCACACAGTAGGTGTTCATTTGGTATTCTCTAACAACTGCATTAGCATAACATGGCACCATTATTATTTCACTGCTGATGTTTGGAATACAGTATGTTTACTGTTTAAATCTGTAACAACAAAGTCCAGAAATTTGTCAAACCACAAACACACAGGACTAGTTTTTATCTCGGGTCATGAAAGACACAACATGAAAGTCTGGACATTTGTTGTGCCAGTTTGAACGCAACTCTCTTTGACAGAAAGATAGAAATAGAGCATAACAAAAAAGTCTGTGAAAGTTTTGTGGTTTGGACTTGATAATAAACAGTATTTGCTGTGGGGTGTCACAGATGTGCGGAAATTCTGAATTATTCACCTGTCAGTTCCAGAAATATATGATTTCTGCCACCTACAGAAATGCACATTATTTACAAAAGTGATAATTACTTTGAGATTGAAATTGGTTTTTTCGATACTCTTTGTTGCCATGTGTACATAAACCATTGCCCAGAGTCTGCCTGCAGGAGACGTCTGACATTCATGCAATAAATATAAAATGAGTATTTATAAGGCCGGTATGCAGCATAAGTTTTTGCTTGAAGTTGATTCTTTGGTTGTTTGATTTCCAAATGAAATACCCATCTAGTCATGTGATCTGTTGGCAATGTTGGACCCCATAAGCTATTTACATAACTTCCTAGGGTGTCTTTGGGTTCACGTTTCACAGTGTCACAAACATTGTACACATATATTCGATCTGGAAACTGTGATACTGTGAAGATTATGATGAAAACAATACATTGATGATATACATTGGATTGCATTGTCATTTTATACATGACTGTAATCCACTGTGCTTTACAAAGACAGTGTTACGAAGCAAATCAGACATTAGGGGGAAGGGAATGTCCAGGAGCATATTAAATAACATAATGCAGGGTGTCTATTTACAAGGAGCATAATGGGTGACATACACTTCTCCCACACAAGGAACGGTGAAGTCGGAGGATCTGAGACTTCACACAAGTTCATATGAAACATGTTTTTGTGTAATGTCGTTCTTATCTGGACTTTGTGACTGTAATAAAGTTTAATAATAATAAGAACAAATAGGATTAAATGAAAACAATGATCAAACTGTTTCTTCACCTAAAACACAAACTCTGCATGTGTTAATGTCATTTGTAAATTTAGTTTTTGTAACTTGAGATATAACTTTATTGTATTCGTTGGTTGAATCAGAAGTAATTATGATAATCAAATTCATAATGTTGAAAATTCTTCTGACTTCAGGAAAATTGGATTAGAACAAGGGAAAATTTGATTCCCTGGGTGCAGAGTGTAAATTTTGGTGACCCTCGCCACCCAAAACATCCACCATTAGTAAGTAAGTAAGTAAGTAAGTAATCTTTATTTATATACCGCCTTTCACAGACCAGAGTCACAAAGCGGTTTACAATTGTTATTTTTTTTGGGCATTTGTCCACTCACTCCACACAGAGATGGGAATGGGTTCGCCAGTACAGGAGGCGCATGCCAGACCTATTGTGCATGTTTTTAGTGGTAGGGGAAACCGGAGTACCCGGAGGAAACCTACGCAGACACGGGGAGAACATGCAAACTCCACTCAGAAAGGCCCTGGTCCGGCCGGGATTTGAACCCAGGACCTTCTTGCTGAGAGGCGAAAGTGCTATCCACTCAGCCACCGTGCCGTAGTAAAATTCTCCAACAAAAGCAATTCTTACCAGGCCCAGCATCAACATCAGGGACTGAGATGCACTGTCATAACCATTGCTAGTTAGTTAGTTGTACTTTATTGTCCCTGTATGGAAAATTGTCCCCAACATTTGTCCTCTACAGGGCCTCTCTCAGGAGCAGTGGTCGCCGTGGTTCAGCCTTTGGATAATCATCTCTAGATATTGATGCTTGGCTTGGTCAGGATTATCCGAGATTTAGGATTTTTGCCTATTAAACATGTTTTTAGTGTTATGGGAAACTGGAGCACTCGGAGGACACCTACATAGACACAGGGAGAACATGCAAACTCCGCTCAGAAAGACACTGTTCTGACTGGTATTGGAACAGTCTGTCCCTCATAATAATGCCCCTATTATGTTTTTTATTCTTTTACATACTAATTTATTGGTAGAATTTGTCCTTCTAACTTTGGAGCTTAAGTGAATTTGGCAGATTTGAATGTGTTTCCGTTTGTTGAGCACTTGTCAAGAATGTTGGAATAACTGACTGGTGAGTGTATTGGCACTGCGCCCGATAAAGTCAAAAACATTCAAAAACCTTTATTTTCCATTGAAACAATTAGTAATGTCTCCCCCCTGAACTGCATAATACTGTTTGACAATTCTGCTGGAAGGGTTTTGACATCATTACACCAGGTAACAACACACTTTCAGCCCGTGGTGGAGCTTGTTATTTCACTGCAACAATTCCAGGACAGACCCGTAGCGTTTACCGAGCGCCTTTCTCTGGGTTTAAACCACTTTGTTGCCAGAGTGCCGTTTGCTTTGCGTTGATTAGAAGTGTCTGCTGCAGCTGTGCCCTTGTGCCGGAGCGCTCTGGACCGCGATACCATTTGGTTTTGGGGGTTGCCTCGCTCCCTGACGTCTCTATTAGATCAGATTTGAGCATGCACAGCTTTATTATTCCGATTTAATACAACAATGCCCTCAATATCCCATTTACCTTCCTCTGCCTTCACTTTTTATTTATACCACCCTCTCTTGTCCGCCCCCTCCCTCTTTTCCCTCGTATTTTCTTTCCTCTTGCACTCTACGGGACCTGCAATACAATAGATATTAAATCAGATTTATTACCAGGCTTTGGAACAGTGTAGGACTCTGACCTATGGAAATGTGGCCAAACTTGAAGTCCTGAGTCTGAATCGTCTCCACTTGCTTGGTTTGTTTTCGTTGTAGGGCTGTATGGGAGTAGTAATTGTGAAATCGATTTATACTGCTTTTATGACTCTGACAGAGACACGGGATAAATATTTATTCATTTTTAAACTGCACAACGCATCTTTTTACATACATACTACAGAATGAGATGGAATTATCTTTTAAAAGTATTTCTAGTCAAACAATGTTGTTACATTTAAGGCAAGGCAAGGCAAGTTTATTTATATAGCACAATTCATACACAAGGCAATTCAAAGTGCTGAACAAAACAAGAAAGCATTAAAATCATAAATAATCACAGAACATTAAAAAGAAAGATACAAATATAAAATCCCTCAGTTGTATGCACAGCTAAACAGAACTGTCTTTAACCTGGTTTTAAACATTGTCAGAGAGGAGGCCTGTCTCACATCTTCAGGAAGACTGTTCCAGGTTTTAGCAGCATGAATCTGAAAAGCAGCCTCCCCATGTTTAGTTCTGACTCTGGGCACTAACAGGAGTCCAGTCCCTGTGCTCCTCAGAGTCCGGGCTGGTTCATATGGTACTAACATGTCACTAATATATTTTGGTGCGAGGCCATGGTGAGACTTGTACACAAGCAGAGCTGTTTTAAAGTCTATTCTCTGAGCCACAGGAAGCCAGTGCAAAGACCTGAGAACTGGACTAATGTGGTCGTACTTCCTGGTTCTTGTCAGGACTCGAGCTGCTGCATTTTGAATGTACTGCAGCTGTTTTACAGCCTGTTTGGACAGACCTGTGAGCAGGCCATTGCAGTAGTCTAACCTACTGGAGACAAATGCATGGATAAGAATTTCCAGGTCTGCTTTAGACACTATGTTTTTGATCCTGGCAATGTTTTTTAGATGGTAAAAAGCTGCTGATGTTACTGATTTGATGTGGCTATTAAAATTTTAGTCTCCACGAAGATCCATGAGCGTTGTATTCACTTTGTTTTTGTTTATTCGCTTTTCAAAAAATATTGTTAATTAAAACCCTATTTTGAGGAATTTTGTATATGCACAGCAGCCGAGGCATTTGTTAGCTGGAATTTTTTTTTTCTCGCAATTACAAGTAGTAATTGTTGTGATTTGAAATTAAAAGGTTCATTTTATCAACAAAAAACACTGGAGCAAAAACAAAGAATGATTATAACGAAGTCCAAGCAAGCTCCGAGGAAAACCACGGGCAAACTGGTCCTCCACCTGAGGAAATACAAAAGGGCTTTCAAATAAGTCCGAATAAAGGTGTTTCTCGGAATTTCAGAATTGGCTTTGCTTCTATCACTGCCCTCATGACAGTAATTGATGTAGCAGTAGTTGTGCCTCTTACTGTTAGTTACATATGACATTATTCAAGTTTCTCATACACTTTAAGTCTGGTTCACACGGCAGGATAATGATGCATATATAAGACACAATTCACCCCTGACAACAATCTTAAAAACGCTCAGATTTTCGTAAAATAATCTGATGCCATGTGTGATGCGTTTAAGACTGCGCTCGTCGCTCAGAAGGACTTTTCTTTTGATAACGCTTTGTCTATGTGTAAAACAAACTGTAAACTACCGCAATTGCATCCTGTTCGTCCGCCATGATTGTTTACTCTGAAGTCATGCTTGATCTCGAGAGATTTTGCGAGAATTCCTCTCTGACCTGGGAATGGTAGGGAGTGAAATTGGTTCGTGTGTGGTTTGTATGATTTTGCCTTGTGGCTGCGCACCCCACACTGTACGTCCAAAGTGGTTAGACGCTTGATTTTTTTTCTCCGTGTGTGGGGTCTCTCAAGTTTGGAAAATAGGCCAACAGTTTTTAAATCACCTCGTGTGAACCAGGCTTTAGATGAAGAAGAGATTTTCTTCATAGCGCACACTTCATACACAATCTACAGCTCAATGTGCTTTACAGAGACATCAAGATACAGAGTTTGACAGGTAGATATCATTGACAGGTCTACTGGAAAGAAGAACTCAATGTCAGAGCACATTTGATCTGTCTAAATCAATGAAGCTAACCCATTTACAAGAAGCATGGGGGGAAATTGCTTCTCCTATATTTCTGTTCCTCTCGACTCCAGCTGGAAAAGTGGGTGGACATCTTCCTGCATCTAACCTAAAGGGAAGTTGTGCAATCAGCTGATAGCCTTCCTCGGCTCCATCCCGGCAGCAGCTCCTGAGCTCTTAATGCATACTGAGAGCAGAACTACAGCAGTGGCATCCCTCAGTCCAACGGCAAATGGCTGAAGATTAGGGGCATTAGGCTAGAGGAACTTTCCTTCGACTTTAACAAGCTTCACTTCAGGTTTATATCATGATTGATTCGGCGCTCCGAGCTTTTTATCAATCCATTAGAGCTCAGTCTGCAACGTGGCAGCCGTCCAGACGTGGACATTAACATTCAATCTGAGGGCTGAGACATCAGGAAGGTCAGCCGGGCTACAGACATATTTACTACTGTTTTACATCAAACGTGCCAACGTGACTTAATCAGACATATTATATAGCATACGTATTTATCTCAATATTTATTAAGTATCAATGGACACAACCATAATTACAAGACAAATATTTTTGTTTGAATGGTGACATTAGGACTGAAACAACAAATCAAACGTATTAAATTATTCAAGAACAAAAAAGGCTTGGATTACAATTTAATCATCCGGATAATGCACTTCATTTCTTCCAACATTCTAACTTTAATACCAATAAATATGGTTAAATAAAATTCAGTATATTGTGTAGTAGTTGCGACACATTTGTCTTAGTTATTAACATACCTTTTGTCTACAAAAAAAATTATATTTAGTAAGCATTTAATGGTGCAAGGTATGAAGAAAATATAATATAGCCACATAGTTTACTAAATTAATCAATAGTTGCCGCTCTAATAAACATAAAAAGAAAAGGCATTTTTTTTAAACGAAAAACTTTTTTTTGTAAAATGACTTTGTGGTTTAAAAGAAAAAAAGACAAAGTTTAACTACATTCAATGGGGAAGAAGGAGAGTGAATGAGCAGTGGCCTGTTATTTTTGATGAATGGAGGTCATCTGAGCAGGAGAAGGCAGGTCCGATAACAGCAGATAAACCCCAAGCCAAAACAAACGGAGCTCAATCCTTTACTTGTTACGACCACCCGGGCCAATACCGTGCACTGCTTCCTCTTTCACCAACAATGGCCTTAGACACAGACTGTGAGATAACAGTGGCTTTGTGACCAAATACAAATGCTCTGTCCCATTCTTTATGTGCTCTTGTCCACCCCTGTGCAGCAAGCACTGATTCTGAACAGTGATATGCTTATTCTTGATTGGAGACATTCACAGTTTAATTGTTTTACAATTTGTAGCCTTAGAGAGCCAGGTGTGATCGTATCAGTAGGCTGGAGGTGACTGTGTCTGAAAAGGTGGAACCTCACTGTCAGAAGCTGTTTCACCTTCAACGCGCAGACCCGTCTGACTTTGTGGCTCCACTTGACAGGCCCCACCTTTTAACAAGAGCAAAATGTCAAAAAACAGAAGACATTAAGATAGTTTGAGTCTACACAGATACATATTATCTGCTGAAAAGGGCAGGAACATTGTGTGAGATAATGTAAGATCATCACATATCCTCTTTGCATGTTATAAAGTTTGAGCAAATGAAATGTGTTCAATGGTGTATCCTCCTATAGTTGGTCATTGATGACATAACCTTTTAAGTTTACCTCCACTTGCCATTATGATTCAGGATGCATGAAACTGCTGCGCTAATAAAGTTGAAGTTGTCTGACTGACGTGTCCAAAATCCCTGGAGGGAAATAAATTGCATTCAAAAGAATTCTGCTGTGAAGCAGCTGCTGGTTGCAGCTGATGCTCTTGTTTTTTAGTTTCACTTCACACCTCTCTTGATCGTGCGCGCTCGGCTGAGGACTGTGTGAGCTGAAAGTATTGACAAGCTTTGCCAATGAGAGACAGGATTTGAGCAGGCTGCTGGTGAGGAAATGATACTGTCAGGGTTATGCCGGAAAAGTTACAACATTCCCCAAAGGAGCCAGGATTTGCATGGCAATCGGAGATGGAGACTAGAAGAGAATTCCGTTTCCAAAGTCAATTGTGATAGCAACAGTGACAGAAGTGCACTTTATTTACACATTGAGGAAGGTGCGCAGTAGCTCTTTGGATGGTATTAATGAATAACCTGTTCACACTTCAGAAGAGGACATCTGATTAAACTTCGAAGCCTTGGAATGCTTTTTCTGACCAGACCAAACCACTCACTTTTATTATAATAATCCCAAGAATGCTGTAAACGATGCCATCATGCTGGATTGATTCCGTCCTTTACAAATATCAGCACATTGCATCATATTAAATATTATTTTCATTCATTTTAAAGACATACAAGAAAACCACACTTTTTCCACACATTTCCCATTGTATAGAGGTTTTGTTGTTTTGTAGTGCTGCTCAAAAGTCAAAAAATAGTATCCGTAACATTTCAGGAAAAAAAAAAAAAAAGTAGTGAGCTGCAAGAATGAATCAACATAGTCAATATTGTAAAAAACTTTACAATATTGTAAAGTTTTGTGAGGACCCTGATTAGGTATTTAACTAAATGTACAAGTTCAAGTATTTTACAGTGGATTTTTGCCACTCCCGATTACAGTTTTCTCAGTGATAATTAAGGCGGAGGAGACCAGTGTGTGTCTGCAGGTAGGAGGAGGTGCATTCGAGGGTTAGGGGTTCACCATTAGCACAAGGGGGACATAAAACTGTTAAAATAGCAGTAACGATTCATTATTTTGCAACTGAACCTGCTTTCGCATTCTGGTAAACTGTGACTGAGAAAAGATGCTGAGTCCTCTTGACATCGGTCCCACAGGAAATCACTGATCGTTCCCTGTCTATTTTTACTGTCTGTGGGACGACAGGACTTTGTTAGTCTCAAGCCATGCATTCAAATTATTGTTGACTAGTCCACTACTGTAGAAAACGAAAAACTTTGCACATCCGGCTCTGTGACAGGTGCGTAAGAGCAGGCTCCGCACACAGCTTACCCAACTTAGAAAAGGAAGAAAACAACTCTTGCACACTGTACTTGCATACACCAGTGTTTTTATTTCCAGATGAGCAACGTTTCGTCAGGCAAAAAGACTAGACTAAAATAATTCTTACTGACTGGCCTAGAGCGTACACTACACCATTGATTATAGATTTGTGCTTAAAAACAGCTGATACATTGCACCAAACAGATAGAATATAAGTCCACTAGTATGACAGACTGAAAAAGTGAGTCTAATCCTAAATTAAACTCTTAGATTGTGCAGAGGTATTCAACTTGATCCTGAAAGGGCCAGTGTGACTTCAGGTTTACATTTAAACCAAGCAGGAGCACACCGATTATGAATAGCCAATGCATTCAGGATTAGTTTAGTTGCAGGTTTAACAATGAAAGTTTTGAAAGTTCCAAGAAAACCCCCAAATTTCCAAGAACTACAAAGGACACCTGTTTATGATACGTTTGATTTGTTAGCGATGTAGATAAATCAGGCTTTAATGTTGGAACCCTGCGTATAGTTTTCTTCCCGGAGGAATGTCTGGTCACCCAGGCATGAATGTATGTTACTCTCAACTCGTATAGGTCAACAACAAACTGAAGGGTGCATGTAGCTCTCGACATTTTTCACACCAGAAGTAATAAACACTTAAGACCCGTGACCGCCCTCTTGGATATCTTGAGTATTACTCATCAGTCCCACTATCTGAGATTGGATAATCCATCTATCGGACGGTGAAATGATGAGCTGTGAGCCAGTCCCAGGCCTAATTTGAACATGTACACCGTAGGTCCAAAATAGAAGGACCTCGCTGGTCAGACAAGAAAATGTTGGGATCAGAAGTTTAGGATCCTGATAGGCTTGGGGCATCATTCACAGGAATTGATGCAATAATTTACTGAATTATTTCATTCATTAGATCAACATCCTCCATGTTTCCCAAGTAGTTTTAAAGAGTTCATCGTTTAAGGATGGTCTGCTGACTTTCCCACCCAAGCAGCAGAGGTACTTTCCATTGTGTCTCTCTTTCTTTCTCTCCCTCTTCCTCTTTGCCCCTGAATCCCAAGCTTGTGTTGTATTTGTGTGTTTACCTCTCCAGACCTTGTTCTCGGGGCTCAGCAGGTGTGTCCAGGGTTGTTCAGACCGGGCCAAAAAGCAGATGGTTTCCTGACTCAGGTGCTCTTCGCCTGGGTGAGCTGCCAGCTGCAGGAGAGGGCCTGAGCCTGGGTCTGATTGATTCCCCCCTCCTCCTCGTGGTTCCCCTGGCCAGGATGCAGGACTGAGCCGTGTGTGGCCAGGTCTGGTGGCTAGAGCAGCCAAACCTGCGCTGAGGTGTGTGCACTGACATTTGGCCTGATAGAAACAGCAGCGGTGTTGGACTGAGGGGAGAGAGCAGAGTGTGAAGGGAAGACAGCGGCTGGAGGAAATGTCAGCCTGTTGGCTGGCTTCTTGGCTGACTGCCTTCATCACTGGCAACAGTATAAACACATGCATATGTATAAGAATAACATTGTGTCATGTGGCCTTTGGCTTAAAATGCTTAGGTTTATAAAAATACCCACATCTTCGCATAAAACAGTAGATATAATGAAATCGTTTTACACTGCCAATCCTATTGTGTATGTTTTTTCCTCGGCTGCTTTTGCCTCAGTGCCAACGTTAATGTTATGAGAGATCCTTCAGGGGTGTCTTTCCTTTCAAGTCAGAATAAACAGAAGAATGCTGATACTGCTATGTCTTACAACCATGACAGTCGCACTAAGCACTGGATTTTGGAACTTATTAACGTATTTTTTCTTGCGGTCAGAGTTTAAATGTTAAGGGCCTTTTTTTCCAATAACATAATCTTACATGTTTCCTTCAGTAATACAGATCCATGTCAGATCACTTAATACCTAACTGCCATACTGTATGCATGCTGTTACATTACATATTCAATTCCCGTTTTAGTCAATTATACAGCGTTACGACCATGCAAATGCCATTATTCCAAGCCAATGTCACAAACCAAACATGTAATAATATTGCTAAAATGAAGTCACATTCAAATATTGTTCTATGTAATATTTATGAACTAGAATCTCGATACATCAGTCAACCCAACTGCAAACTCTCAAATGGGAGCGAGCACCTGGCCTTGTCTGTAGTCCTGTCTCCCTGAGTTTATTCACACATGCTCCTGCTTCAGCACACACCACACATTTCTGGCCACACGACTGGCTCCCTTCGATGTTGTTGTCGATCTCATTCTTGTGCCGTTATTGATTCTGAGCAGAGGTGACATTTACTGTGCGTTCTGCCAAGTCATTGCCTTAATCACCTGACTGCTCCTTCACACTTGAACCCAGTCAGATGTTAAAGTCGGAGGTTCCAAAAGTGACCCGGAACATCGGCTCTCGCTGCCAACAGTCATGGGATCAGTAGAACCTCTTGTTGTGGCGTTGCTCACATCTTGCTTGATGTAATTCATGTAGAACAAAGGTTGGGTTATTTGGTTTCAATCATTATCCGCTGGTGGGATGTGAGGCTCTAAGCTCAGGAGGTATAAGCATATGGATTGTTCCTCCTGATTGAGTGTTTCCAGCAGGCGTTTGGAGAGCCAACATAAACCCAAAGACCTGCTCTCCAAGCGCTTGTCAATGAGCTGCTGTATTTATGTCTCCTCATGCAAACCAATCTATCTGAATCCAATACAACCCCTGGATCTGCCTCTCCCAGGATCCCCTTCCATTTGTCTGCAGTGCCTCTAAACAGGCTTTAGTTAATTGTATTGACTGAAAATGAGCATACATAGTGTAGAAGTGGTGTTATGGACATTTGAGATGTGGTTGCATAAGAATGATGGATGAGGTCTAAAGCTTCAACCTTTTCTGCCCCAAGCGTACAAGAATAAACACTTTTTGGGTTCTAAAATTGTGATTATTTTTTATGCAACAAAGATACTTGATAAACCAGCGGTGTCAAATCGGTTCCAGAAAGGGCAGATGTGGCTACTGCAGTCAATAATTCCCTTTGACTGACGTTTTCGAAAATGGATGCAGAAGTAAGGCAGAGATCTTCAAGTTTAACATCTGTATTTAATTTATCTTTACAATCAAATAACAGAAATTCAACCAGCTCCTATACTATCCATGTCCCTCTCTGGCCCTGGTCTGCTTCTCCAGTTCCCGCCCCCAGCCAGAGCATAAAAAGAACAGGAAGGAGGGGAGTGTCCTATCAGCCAGCTTCCGGTCTAGGGTCCAGCCTTTTCCTCCGTCTGCCAGACTCCTGATGGAGTGAGGTTGAAAAGTGCAGAAGTCAGCAGGCCAAGACTAGGGGGGTGAAATACAAACGGCAGAATCCATCTGTTGTCCAGTTGCTGGCACAAGAAGACACCTAAAATAAAATAAGAAGGACTGGCCTCCCACTTTTAGGTCGTTTAGGTCATAAAACACATGGTTTTAGAATGTCATGTATTTATAAATACAACAGTTTCCCTCTTTTGACCTGATTAAAAATTAGGTCACAATCCACCTCGTCGTTTATCATCAATACTTGTGCTTAGTTCCGGCTTGATATCTGTGAAGAGTTAATACAGAGAAAACAAACAACACACAACAAACCACATTTTTACCATTCCTTCAATACTATTTGATCACCACTGCTATGTCATTCTGATTCTTCTTCAACCTCGTCTGTAATGTATGCACTAAAACTATTCACTATAGTTTAAACTATTCTAATCTATTTACAAATATGTTTGCATATTTTGCTTTTATTGAGCCCTATTCTTAAACATATGTTTTTATCTAATAAATCTATCTATACTGTGGTTTGCTTTCATTATCAGTGGCTTTGGGCCATTTCGTGGGGCTTTGCTCATTTTTCCAAATACATTTTGTTGAACCAGGAAGTGCTGTCCCTTCCTCCTCTCAGACCGTTTGGGATAAATGTACATCGTTAATCAAATTGGTATTATCCTTACAAGAGCTAATCTATTTTAGCAGGTTTCTCTGGGGTCAGTCCCTTTACAACGGTATTTTGATTCTCTAATCTGTTGCTGACAAATCGACAGCTCTTAAAATTCTCAAAAAATACCTAAATATCTACTTTTGTGCTATACCCAAATATATTAAAATGCTTTTAAATGTTTTTGAATCTGTGTTGGTTCTAATCTATCTCATTAATCTATCTCATTAACTTTTGGCATTGTTAACATTCACCTATGTTTGAAACAAGCGAATTTGACAGTATCTAATAAACCTGTGCATAAACTGTAATGAACTTCATCTACCTTTGAAGTAAATACTTTTGGACATAATATGAAGGAAATGGTCCTTTTACCGCTTGATATTAGCCCTGTCTAAAAATAATCTCTATTTTTGAAAGCATCTATCTATTTTATACTCTATTGTGACTCCAAATCTTGGTTGTAGTTTGAGCCAAAGCATATTCCCAATTTGTGAGTTCTGATTGTAACAATTGCATTGGCAATAGACGATCTTTCATTGGCCGGTTCTTGTTCTGCAAATCACTATTTTATGTATTGTATCTCAGACTATTCCAAAAACAACACAGTCGTTCTCCAATATTAAAGACATGAATCTATTCAATTTGCCTGAAAGGGAGCGGGAGGAAGAGAACTATTTTAAAACCGTTCTCTACGATTATATGGCTATGAAATTAATTATTTAATAAACAAAAGCACATTCATGGCTTCTGTCCGCTGCTTATAGCTGTTTAAAGAGTTGTCCCAAACTTAATATGTGTAAATACATCAGCTGTTTGTAATAAACAATAACATTTAACCTGTTCTCCAATGGAGCAGCTCAGAGGCTGCGTCAAAAGCAATGTTATATTTGAGCTATTTTTAGATTTAAAATTGTGTTAAAGCCTGTCGTTCTATGTCTGCATTTTAATACTACTCTCTATAAACACATCTGCACTAGTTCCTACAGATGTGGAAAACAGAAACATCTAAAATCTGACTCCATTTGATTCCTTTTTACTTTAGTTATTAGAACAATTTGACCTTATTGATACTTATTTTCACAATAGAACTATTTTGATTATTCACTCCTGTGGACTCACCACCTGCAGGAGGATCAGTGAGGGGCTGGTGCTCTGTGTACTGGGTGCAGCTCTGACTGCCACCCCCCCCGACCCAGAAATGGATTAAGGGGAAGAAAATGGATGGATGGATGGATGGTTATTCACTAGTCTAACTATTATTACTATTGTTTATTCTGACACCTCTTCTTAGCGACCCTTCAACCTATAGCTCCTTGAATCCAATGATATTATAGCTCCAGACTATTTCATTCTATTCTATTATTATCTTATTATTATATGATCTATTATCTTAAAGAGTAGATCTGCTTGATGTTATAAGCGCTATTATTTCTCCTTTTGAATTTGCACAACACTAAATTTAGAATGACCCCCTATGGGACAAATATAGAATTTTATTTCATTTTGGCAACTTTGAAAATTACTTATTAATTTTCCCATTTTGCTTTTTTAGGCTGCCCTTTCTATTATTTATTTGTTCTTGTAAATATATGTTTTACACTTCTTTCTAATGATTTAGAAGGTTAAGGACCATGACCACCTATGACAATAACATTACCATACTCCCCCTATTGGTCATGGGCCAAGTATAAAACATGCATCTGTGTGTGTGTGTAGATTTACTGTTCCGTTCATCTCCAGTTGTTTCTCCCGGATCGTCCTCAATTCATATTGTGGGCTTTGGCGCCAAAGTAGAGGCTCATTTCCTTATGATCCATACTACTGTCATCCCTGAAGCAGGTGCAGTTTATCTTTCATCTGAAAAAGAAACATTAGAACACAAGAAACGCCCACTTCCCTCTCTTCGCATGGTGCAGCCTGTCAATCAATCCAATTGGGCAAAACATAACGACATTGACAGACGGTGTGTGACATCAGGGCAGAGGCTGTAGCCAAATACAGACTTAACAAAATGTATGTTTCTAATTTTATACTCCCCTAAATGTGAGTTACAAACCAAAGTTGTCCTCCGCCCAATGACCGCTCACTGCGGTTGGACCGAATCACTGTCAGGACAAACAGCAGAGGGGGGGGGACTCCCAGTACCTTCAGCAAGGTATTCATCTCAGAGTACTATCCGCAGAGTACTTTCTCAGAGTACTCATCCCAGAGTACTCTCACTTTTACACCTGTTTAATAAAGCTTGTTATCTTTGAATCTCTAGTACTTACACCGTATGCTGTTGACAAAAAATAATTATTCCATGATCACATTAAAACATTACAGAAAACATTTGTTATTCCATTCTCCGTCCAGCACTCCTCGTTCACTCCTCATTTCACAACACACTCGCATCACTCACACAGGCCGCCTCCCCACGTTAGTATATTGGTCCAGAGTTTGTTAAGGTCAACGTAGTGTACTTGACATGACGCACAAACATATAACATACACAAACATATAACACACACAAACAT